ACCTCAGTCTAACCCCTAGCCCTAGCGCTAATTCTAATAGCCATAACCCTAAGGCCCCTAACCAAACCCTAATGCTAATAGCGCCCTAACCACAACACTAACCCTTACACTAATCCTAACCCAAACTGTAACCCTAATGACCCTAACCCAAACTGTAAACTTGTTCTTAACCCCTCAACCATAATCTTAACTTCCTTGCCAAGGGAGGTGGCATTTTCGACAGCTCAAGTGCCCTGCCGGTACACCAGTGGTGGGCACAGTGTTTTGTGGGAGCGTTCCTGAGCCCCACTGCTACAACAGACTGGGGAACCCCGCTTTGCGTGTAGCTGTGTGCCTTGGGACCGTGATCCCTGAGGCTTGCAGTATCCCGGGACTAAGGAACCCAGTCTGCTGGGCAGGCATCCCCCAGTCCCACCAGCATGGGGTTGGACACGATGCTGGGTGCTTCAGTCCTCTGCGCGGGGACCCCTGAAGGATCATTTTGGTGATATCTTCGGAGCAGCTTGTTAGAATCTTGCCAGTCCTTCTTTCGAGTTTCTTCAGCCAGTAGAACACACTGTTGATTAAGTCTTTTGATCCCGGCTGCCCGATCTGCAGGGCAATATCCACTGATATGGGAGCAACTCACTCTTAGCTTGGACAATGCTGGTAGATCTTAACTTGAATTTCCTGTCTACCCCGTGCTAGAAACTCCCTCTTGGGGCAGACGTTCGCTCTTAATGGTAAGGCACTAGTGAGCTTCTTGTAGGGAATGCCCCTATAAAATTCACTCCAGTTGTTACTGATTTTGTCCTTTACAAAGTTGGCAATTCCATAGCCCTGACAGAGCAACCTAGTCCCATGCAAAAATTCTTCCTTCCTCCAGTCACTAGGTCTCACAAGGATGACATTTGGAGCAGAAATCTTCCATTCTGAGACTAGGGTCTCACCACAAACCACTTCTGGGATCACCATGACTGCTTTTAGGTCCCAAACTGATAGAACTTTCTCTTCCCTTCCTCCTGGAGCAATCCACGACTTTCTAAATTAATTCTCAATAACTTCTTGACGAACCACGAATTTTATAGTGTTGCCAGCCAATATGCAGTTCCAGATCTTTCCCAAGGACTGAAGTGAGGCTGACCGGCCTCTTGTTTCCTGGATTGTCCTTCTTGACAATAGATATACTGTCTGCCTTTTTCCAGTGTCTGGGAGCATCCCCATTCGCCATGACTTTTTAAGGATGATGAAGAGTGGCCTCATGGCATCTGCCAGCCCTTTGCATCCCATCTGGTACTATCGACTTAATTGTCTAATGGACTTGAGTGGTCCCTAATTCTATCTTCCACTACTTCACTCCTACAAGACTCTGCTAGGAGGCCTGAGGGCAAATCTTACCGGTGAAGCAGTCGGATGCCCCCAAAGATGACTGTGACGCCATGGGAAAGCCCACGCTGGAGCAGGCTGTGCCTGAAGGACTGCAGCCCACGGGAAGGACCCACACTGGAGCAGTTCGTGAAGAACTGCAGCCCGTGGGAAGGACCCACGTTGGAGAAGTTCGTGAAGGACTGTCGCCCGTGGGAGGGACCCCATGCTAGAGCAGGGGACGAGTGAGGAGTCCTCCCCCTGAGGAGGGAGGAGCGGCAGAGACAATGTGTGATGAACTGACCCCAACCCCCATTCCCATCCCCCTGTGCTGCTGCTGGGGAGGAGGTAGAGAATTCGGGAATGGAGTTGAGCCAGGAAGGAGGGAGGGGTGGGAGGAAGGTTTGGTTTTACTTCTCAGTATCCTTGTTTTGATTTGATTTGTAGTAAATTAAATTGATTTTGTTTCTTCCTCCAGTTGAGCCTGTCTTTTGCCCGTGACCATAAGTGGGAGTGATGCCTCCCAGTTCTTGTCTCGACCCACGAGCCTTTCTTGATCGTTTCTCCTCATCCTACCGTGGCTGGGGCAGGTGGTGGGGAGTGAGCAAGCGGCTGCGTGGTGCTTTGTTACCAGCTGGGCTGAAAGCATAACAGTGATCAATAAATAGCCAAATGCCTCATCATCCAATTAGTGATGTGCATGAATGGATAAATGAGATTCCCACTGTCCCTAGTTACTATCGAGCAAAACCACAGCCAAGAGAACAGGCTTGGCAGAATCAGCAGGGAAAGAAGACCCTGTGAAAGAAGCATGACTCCAGTCTGGCACTGCAAAGAGACATCAGAGGAATAGAACAAATGGGAGGCCCCGCGGTTATGCAATTCAGGCCACGGTCCAGTTGCCAGTGAAATACTACTGGCAAAAAAATAATTTTTTCCACCTACCCAGTGAGGTGGGGGGGGGGGGGGGGGAGCCCCAAAGAGCTCTCAGTTCTGATGTCATGTGCCTGCCACGACCTGCTCCAGGGACAGTACACCTGTCAAACCATAACACAGTGTACTGGTTTCAGCTGGGATAGAGTTAATTTTCTTTCTAGTAGCTGGTATAGTGTTATGGTTTGGAGTTAGTAGGAGAAGAATGTTGATAACACACTGATGTTTTCAGTTGTTGCTAGGGAGTGTTTAGTCTAAAGTCAAGGATTTTTCAGCTTCTCATGCCCAGCCAGCAAGAAGGCTGGAGGGGCACAAGGAGTTGGGAGGGGACACAGCCAGGACAGCTGACCCAAACTGGCCGAAGGGGTATTCCATACCATGTGACGTCATGCCCAGTATATAAACTGGGGGGAGTTGGCCAGGCAGGGCAGATACTGCTCAGGAACTAAGTGGGCATCGGTCAGCAAGTGGTGAGCAATTGCATTGTACATCACTTGTTTTGTATATTCCAATTCTTTTTTTATTATTGTCATTTTATTATTATTATCATTATTATTTTCTTCCTTTCTGTTCTATTAAACTGTTCTTATCTCAACCCAGGAGTTTTACTTTTTTTTTCCCCCAATTCTCTCCCCGATCCCACTGGGTGGGGGGGAAGTGAGCGAGCGGCTGCGTGGTGCTTAGTTGCTGGCTGGGGTTAAACCATGACACACAGGTGTCTTAAGGCAAGCTCAGTGAGGACAGAAACCTCTCACAGAGTAGAAGATCAAGGCTTGATCTTGATTTTCACTATAAATATCATGCAGGGCTTCACAATCCTTGACTTTTGGGGTTTTAAGCAGGCATCCAGGAGACAGTGGATGAGGAACTCCAGGCATGAGTCTCCACATGAGGAACTCAAGCACTTAAGATGTTCTCCTCCATCACCCAGCAACCTGGGGAATTCAGGCTGTTCCTGCAAGGACTGGTCACACTGGGGAAGATAAGGATGTCTGGGCATCCCCACCACATCTCTCCCCCTAATGACCCTGAGGACAGGGCCCAGAGAGGTGTCTGGGTTGTGGGGCAGGGAACCCGTTTGCCACATAGTGGGAACAGGGTTGGGACTTCCACCATGAGAGACTCTGGGGTTCAGCCAGGAGGCTGAAATCTATGCAGGACTAGGAGCAAGGGGGTGGGGGAGAGTAGAAAAATCAGTCCTCTCCCTGGTCTGCCCCAGCAGTTGTCCCCTGCCCAGCATTCCCTAACAACCCCACATCCCTCCCAGATGACACCCAAGGCCTGAGAAGAGCCCTGTATCTCCAAAACAATCCCACAAACCTCCAAATCACCCCTCAAGCCTCAATAGCAGTCCCACATCTGCCTTCTGCTGAGCACCAGATCTTACTACCTTCATCAACATGCAGACATTCTGTCTTGCACCCGCTCCCAGAAAAACCAGCCCCATCGGTCTGTGTGGTCTGGTCCCCTGCCCTCTTTCCCATCCCTCCCCTTACCTCTTACTATTCCCTGAACTACCCAGGAAGGAAAAGCCACTTTGCAGGGCAGACTGCGTAGCCTGGGTGAGGATCCTAAACCCACACATATTTCACAAATAAATCCTGGCATAAGCACATCCAGGTCACATCCTCCTCACTCAAGAGTGTTCTGCTCTCCCTTAACACCCATGTTCCCCATAGACAACAAGAAGCCTTGTGCTAGAAGAAAACTGTTTCTTTTTTTAAACAGAACTGTTTTCAACCCTTGTTCCTCAGGGTTTTCTTTTTTGAAAAGATAAAGTATTATCTGAAGAACCTCTGTGCATATATATATATCATATATGTGTGTGCGTGCATACATTTATACACTTAAAAACAGTCCCACAGACTTGTGCCACTCATAGCAGCCCATCCTGCTTCATAGCAGAGAAGACAACTCCATCAAGCAGCAGAAAAAGCTGTCCCCCTCAACTAGAGGAATGCACTGAACCACATCCATCTGTGGCTCTGGAGGGAATCCCACCAGCTCCAGATGGGAGGCTTTGACTTGAGTGTAAACGCATCGCTTTACGGTATTTCTAGACACTGGCTGTATTAGACAGTGCCATGCTAGGACACATGCCACACTCACCTGTGCCCAATCCTGGAAAAAAGCATGCCCAAGGACACTGAACAGCCTTTTAACAGGTGGCAAGCAGTCCGCACTTTGCAGCTGGACTGTGACTTTCTAACTCAATTAGATACCTATAGGCAGAAATGGAGACAAGGGAGAAAGGTGAGCAGATGTCTTTCTGAGAGAGGTGGCCACAGTAACACAGCCCATCTGTCCAGAGCAATGTCCTGCATATTAAAGGGGAGTCACTGAGCAAGTAGCCCCCAGAGGAAATGTCCTTTTGCGGAAAGACACTAATACAAACTGGTCGAGACAGAGTAGAGGCAGAGGTCCAGGCTGGCAGGCTGGGTGACAGCCCACTTCTAGTCATAGGCATCATCATCGTCAAAGTAGGAGTCACAATCAAGGTTATCTGACTCATCATCAAACAGAAAGTTGTCTTCATCAAGGTCATCATCGTCATCATAGTCTTCCTGCCACTGCGGTTCGTACTCCTCATCTTCAACCTCTTTGCCACCTTCATCTGTGTTGGGGGAGTCGCACAAGATGGTACGTTTTGGCCTATTGAGGAGGAGAGCATCAGAGTAGAGCCCTGGCTGTGACCAGCAACCACAACCCAGCCCCACACCACCCTCATCCTCCCTGCTACCATCACCTCAGCATCCCCGTCCAAAGCCATGTCTTAGGGACACAGCAGCCATACAGGTGCACCTAGGAGAAGGTGATTAAACAGCCTTATCCATGCATGCAGCACAGGACTGTGTCAGAGAGCTGCCTGTGACTGGGCAAACAAGCTACAGTCTGCCACCAGCTCTGGTGTCTCAGCCTCATTCCGAGGAGACCAGAAACCCTGCTCTGAAACCGAGTGTCTCTTGACTCAGTTGTCATTCTTTCTTGCAACACTCAGCACCCTGTTCAGCTCCTGGAAACACAGTAGCTGTCAGAGGGGATTGGTCACACTGGGATAGCAGATGCCAGTTGTGTTTTTTGGTTTAAACAGCACGTCATACAGGAATGGACTTTGTTTCGAACTCATCACCTTCCAATCACACTTAGCACCTGCCAGCTCAGTACTCTTAGGACAGGGAAACAACAAACCATCCATTTCACCTCTCAACACACTATTTTACAGCTGTGTCACCTCTTCTCCATTCCCTTCTTAAAATAAATGTCAGGCCCTTCCATCTTCCCCCATGTATGTTCTTATTCTTGCTTCTCTCACCTAGACACCTCCTAGATCTGTGATACACCTCTGAAGGGAGAGTGTGACTCTCCACAGAAACCCAAGAGAGTCCAGGGAGAACAATTTCCATAACTGGGTCTGCCAGTGATGGAGCTTTCTTGACCATAGCTGCATACCAAGCGGAGGTTTTGCTGGTCTCCCTATACCACTATGTCACTTGCATCCTTATCTCAAACCACAACACAGGATGCAAGTAACCAGTATCTGTTATTAACTCTTCTGTATGTCAGCAAGCACAGGAGAAAACTCTGGTTACCTGCTTTTTGTATACACTCACCCACCTTTCCTTGTTACCCCGCTAAGAAAACTCACCCTATACAGGCAGGGGCTGAAGTAGGCACATTTGAGACTTTCACCTTTCTCTGACCAGGATCTGCCAAAGTCTGGAGCCCAACATGGAAATCCTGCTAGTACGGAAGAACAGCCAGAAGAGAGAGACAATATGTGATTTGGGGTGTGTTTCATGCTGCAAACCCCTTCCCTACATATACACAGCACTGAAAGTCTATCCCCTCAGAGCTGATCAAGCCCCTTTCTAGGTTTGCCCAAGATCAAACTAGACCAGAGCAAGACAAGCCACTAATGGGCCTGTGGACTTCACCTGTGTGGAGTGCCAGAGAATTGCAAAGAGACGCTCCTTGATCTGGTGTACCAACTCCAAACCAGTACTGAAATGCTCTGCTTTCAGGAGCTGAAGAGAAGAGGCCAGGTCCTGGTACTGCAGCAGGGTTTCCTCTGCAATCAAGGCCAACAAAGTCATGCTGCTTCCCACACTCTTAAGCAGAGACCAAATACCTTGGCTCTGATTATGAAGCCAGTCACAGCTACTTAGGTCTCCTGTGCACATACATTCCTCTTTCAGAAGGGAATGTGTTGCTCCTTACTGCATCGATCTCCACTGGCAGCAAAACTGCTTCAGTGGACTTCCAAGAAATGACATCAAGGTGGCAAAAATGGGCTGGGAGAAGTGAGAGAGACCAGCTGGGTGCTGGTGTGTATGCTATTGTACCACTACAGAGCTGCCACCCTTTGAACCAAACAGCTGGGAATGCTAGTATTTACTTTGGAGAGGCTGCAGGACTTACCCAGAAGGATCTGCAGAGCATTAGTGTGCAGCTCTAGGCTCTCAGTCTGCTGTTCCACAACATCCATGCTCTCAGTGTCCTGGTTATAGTAGCTGTACACACAGGAGTAGGCCAGCACCTGGAGAGGTACAGATCATGCTGTAAGCATCCTCCTTCAGCTTCAGAGTGGACAAGAAGAGAGTAGCATCAAACTCTTCCAGACTTCATTACATATCCATGGCTGAGAGAAGCCTGGCAGCACTTCTGGTCTGTGGCGATAGCCCAGTGAGCCATTATGCCAAGTGGCAGAAGTGCCAGGCTACCTAGAGCTACCCATAGGACTGGAAATTAATGTGTAATTATTTTGTACTGAAGTCTGAAAATACCTGATTGTTCCCACCTGCAAACCATCACAAGAACACAGACTGTAAATGCTTAACAAGTGTGACTGACCAGCAGGCAGAGTCAAAACAACCAGCACACAGAATCTACACATTACTGGGCAGCCAAGGTTGAACTCAAGTGGCAATAAACAGAGAGAACTGAGCCCAAAGGGAAGCAGTCATGGTGCTATACAGCACCAAGAGCCCACAACAAAGGCATTTCAACAAGTAACAAACTCCTATTATAAATGAATGACCCCTAAAGCCATCCAGGCACCCAGCAGGAAACAAGACCACTGATGCCATTTAAAGAAATGGGCCAGAAAAGCCAGCAGCAGCAAGCAACAGTGATATGTATCCTGGCAAACATAGGGGCTACCCTACTGAAAAGACAAAACAGGGTCAGACACCCTTGCTCCACACGCCTCTCTCAAAATCAAGTTTGCCTGCACAAACAAGGTATATATTACAGAGGCAATACTGCAAAGGCAATTCCCACCTCCTTCCTATGTTTCAGGGGATAGAAGCCATTGCAGGCATACGCTGTCGCAGGCTTACTGCACACATCCAGTAGCTGCACTGCAAATCCTTCATAATGTGGCTATCAGGGCATGCAGTAGGTAACTCAGTGCTCCCCAAACACCTACGGCTCATGAAATGAAGTTAAGGAAGGAAAATCTTAACATGAGCTGATATCAAGAGGGACTTCCTAACTGTAACATACCATCAGGAGAGCTTTCAAAAGGTTAAGTACCACCACTGGGGCCTTTCAAATTGGAATGGACCAAACCCAGTATATGAAAACCCTAAATATAGATCCTTGTGCTGATTCCATCCATGGTGTCAACTTGAGCTAAGCTCCAAATCCTATGACCCGACTGTGAGGAACACTACAGACAGAGCCCAACTCAGAGTGAGAGCAGGGAAAGGCAGACATGAGCTCTTCCCCCTGTCTTGATGCTATTCCTCCCCTCAAGCTTTTTCTGTCTCCCCTTGTTTGGAATAGAGCAAGGTTAGCGTCTCCTCACTTTAAGAAAAGCATAAAACACACCAAAAGAATTAGGCCTAAACCTCAGCAAGCCTGTTATCCAGCCTTACCTTCCGTGCCTGTTCTAGCACTTTGCAGGCATCAAGAACAAAGGTCAAGGTCCTAATTTTTGGCATCTCACTGATGGAAGAAACCCTGTTCCTCAGACTCATGGCAAATTCCTGCAATAACCGAAGGAGGAAAAAAAATAAGTCAATGTCAAGCTCCACAAGATCAAACAAATAGCACCTTCCACAAAGATAATTGCTAAGCATCCTGAAGCACCATCCCTGAAGATGCAGGCAGCAGGAGAGCATTTACTGCATCCAACTATGACATCTCTGCTGTGTCATCACTTCAACCTTTTAGAGTATCTCAGCTCCATCTAGAGTTCAGCCTTCAGTTGCCATTGCTTCCAAGTACTGCATCAGTTTGAGCACGTGAACACCACAAGTTAGGTGTCCAGTTTCCACAACAGATCTGGTAGAAAAAAGCAGGCCAAGAAACACCCCTTGCATCAGAACAAAGGCGAAATGATCAGGCACCTCCACCTGGATCCAAAGTCTGCTTCTCAGCTTCAGATGAAATACACTGAGACACAACAGAAACTGTCCTGCTCACCAGGGCTAAGACAACAGAATCAGCGTCTGCAAAGGAAGGAGGAGGCCTTACCCTTGCATGATGATGAAAGGTGCATCTCTCATTGTAATCCTGAAAACGCTTCTCCTGCCAAGCTGCTTTACTCACCTGAAAGGAGAAGTAGAAGTAACCTGTAGCCATTTCCCTCAAGTACCAGGGTTGCCTGGAAATGGCTACCACACATACAGACTTTGACAATACTATCAATATTACTGGCAAGGGCACAAAGTCCAGAGTAAAGGGCACAACTGGAGATGCTCACCCTCCCTCCGAGAGGCCAGGTGCATCAGAACACAAGCATGAACCGCTGAGATATAGTGAACCACTCACCATAGCAGAGCAGTTGTAATAATCCTTATGAGTCGGCCTCCAGGGCTTGAGGCAACGCCAACAGAAGCCATGATTACACTTTGCACACGTCATACTGCATGGTAGGAGAAGAACAATGGGAATCAGTCAGTCCTAACAGCCACTTGCAGACAGTTCCTCCCAGCATTCCCCTAATTCACAGGGCTGGAGCATGAGATCCAGTCACTTCCATTCACTCAGTACTATGCATTTCCCTGCATGTATTTTTTAAAGCCATTGCTGGACGCAGATGATGCTTAAAACCCATCATTGTGCCTCCAAAAATGAGCTGGGTAAACTGGCAGCACAGATCTCACAGTACCAACTTACCAAGTACTTGAAGGGTGAACTAAGCATTCCATAGTTTGAAGCAAGATCCACATGAGCACCTCACCTCTTCCCTCAGTAATACAGCACTCCACAGTGCAGAAAGGCATTGCACAGCCCTAGGGCCACACACGTGTGGGGACAAATCACAGCTGGGCACGAAGGGCTATGCCAGTGCAAGAAAGAACCAAATGGTGACTCCTAAGCTTTGGCTTCAAAGCTGGAGATAACTCCCCTATCGTGTAAAAAGCTGCTGGCAATCCAAGCCAATTCAAAAGAGGCAGTTAAAAGAAAATTGCTTAAAGTTACAGGAATAGCTGAGCATGAAAGAAAAAATGCTGCTTAGCTATCCACTCCCCTAACCTGTACCTCTGTATGTCTATGGCAGATTATGAGAGCAGACAAGCGTGCGCTATAAAAAGATATTGCAAAATGAGTTTGGGTTCTACTACAGAGCTATCAATGGATTTAAGTCTGAATGCTGGGGAATATTTTGCTTGTCCTAGGAATTAAAAGCAATCCCTCATTCTTCTAAAACTATAAAACAGACCTGCTGTAACACTTACTCCACAGCCAAAAAAAGCACAGTGGACCTAACTGTATGTCTTTGCCCACTCCTGTCTTCAGTAGCAAACAAAAATGGATACTCACTGCAGGCACCCCTCATTTTTCTCTATCTGAGCCCGGCAGCTTGGGCAATGCTTCGAAATGAGCTTAGCCAGATGTTTGCTTTGGGCTTCACTTGTCATTCCCTCATAGTACCCATCATCATCCACCCACTGAGACATGTGGCTGCAGCTGGCAGGATAATGGGCCTGAAAGAGAGAGCCAGTCAACCACACAAAAGCAGAACGGCGTGTGCCAAACCCAAGACAGCACTGCCTGCAATGATTCAGCTCAGCCTCACCTCTGGGAAGTTGCAGTTGAAGCAGGATATCCAGGAGCACTTGGAACAGGCTGCCCCGTAGCCAAGTCCATCCTTAAGGAGGATCTGATCACAGCCCTGAGGGTTGGTGCACCACGTCAGGTTGGAGCAACACTCAACATAGCCTCTGAGGAGGGCTTTTTCATACTGTAATAAGAAGCCAAGAAGGAGATTTAAGGTAGAGAAGCTGCAAAGTTAGGCCTTACAACTTGGGTCTGGTGCCTCTGGGCTCTATATCTGACTGAACAACTGCTCACAACAAAACAGCACCAAGTTAGTTTACTCTTTCACTTTCTTTGTGTAAATTGCCCACCCCTCATGTCGTATCTGGAGGTTGCTTCACGTAATCACAGAATAGCTGAGGTTGGAAGGCACTTCTGGAGATAAAAAACTAGTCCAACCCTTCCAGCTCAAAGCAGGGTTGCTCAGGACCATGTCCAGTTCGGTTTTGAGCATACCCAAGGATAGAGACTACAAGCCTCTCTGCCGAACCTGTTCCAATGTCCCATTACCCCTACTGTTAAAAAAAAAAAAGTTTTCTTATGTTTAAATGGAATTTCTTGTATTTAAATTAGTACCCACTGCCTCTTATCCTTTCACTGCGTATCACCAAGAAGAATCTGGCTCCTTAATCCCATTTGTGTATTTACACGTGTTGATAAGATTCACCCCTGAGCCTTCTCTTCTCCAGGTTAAACAAACCCAGCTCTCTCAGCAAGAGATGTTCCAAAACCTAAATCATCTTTGTGGCCTTTTGCTGGATTGTCCCCAGTATGTCCACATCTTTCTTGTACTAGTGAGCCCAGAAATGGACATAGTACTCCAGGTGTGGTCTCACCAGCACTGGGTAGAGGGGAAGAATCACTTTCCTCAACCTGCTGGCACTGCTCTTCCTAATTCAACCTAAGATGCTACTGGACCTTCTTCGCCACAAGGGCACACTGCTGGCTTATGTTCAACTTGTTGTGCACCACGATCCCTTTTTTTTCCCCGCAGGGCTGCTTTGCAGATGGTTGGCCCCCAGCACATACTGTTGCACTGGATTATTCCACCCCAGGAGCAGGACTTGGCATTTCCCTTTGTTGAATTTAATGATATTCTTGTTTGCTAAGTTCTCTAGCCTGTTGAGGTCCCTCTGAATGGCAGCACAACCATCTGGAACATCAATCTGTCCTTCCGGCTGTTTATCATCTATAAATTTGCTGAAAGTGCACTTGGTCCCACCATCCAGGTCATCAATGAAGATGTGAAACAATATTAACCTTAGTATCAACCTCTGGGTTATAGCACTAGTGACTGGCCTCCCCCTGAGCTTTCTGCCACTGATCACAAACCTTTGAGCTCAGCGGGCCATCTCACTGTCCACTCATCCAGCTTGTACTTCATCAGTTTTTTTTCTGAGGATGTTGTGGATGCTGGTGTAGAAACCCTTGCTAAAGCCAAGATGAACATCATCTCCCCTCATCCACCAAGCCAATCATCTCACCATAGAAAGCTATCAGGTGCTCTTTTTAACTTTTTCTGGTTTTAAGTTCCTCAGCAGACTTTTGCTTAGTTACATGATGTTTGAAGGGAAAGGAGATTCGCTTTGCCCACAGCCTCTAGACATTACTGCAGAGGACAAGGCAAATTGGTTATCAGTAAGGAACTGTTCAGGCAGGGACCCAGGGATGCAACCTACTGCACATAGTAGCTTAGTTTTCTATGTTTAGTTACTGTAAAGACCGTGCAAACATACACAAAGCTAGAGGAAGTTCAGAAGAAATCCTGTAGTCTTCACAGCCCTCCTGCAAAGATTTTTGCATACCTGGAGAGCCACCAGGCACAGAAAGGACAACACAGGTCACAACAAGCACTAGAGAGAAAAGGTGCAAGCCCTGAGCACTACAGGGCCTCAGAGAGGGCTCTCATTAATTTATCTCCCTCGTTTATTCTCTCTTGTTCATTCTCTCTCTCAAGCAACCTAAACCAAAGAGTGTGTGCTGACAGGCTGCAAGGATGTCAGCCTGTGTCATGGCAAAATGCCTGGTAGAGGCAAAGTCTCAACAAAGCCACTTCATTCTTCTCAGAGAGGCTACATCTGTGTCTGCTGTCATCCTGTTGATAGGCGATGTGATCATTTCTGCCCAGACACCAGTACACAGAAAGATAAATGGGTACTTGAGTCAGCAGACGGCACCAAATCACAGCCTTCACAGAGGCTGAATTTCACAAGGTCTGATGTCTGGAGTTTTGCTCTATCCTGTTTTCTTCATGAAGAGGAGACAGAGGTGCAACCACTGAAGGAGATCTAAGATTCCTACTGGAACCATAGGAGAAAGAGCTGCTCTCAGGAAGCCTAAAAGGAGAGGGAACAAGTGTCGAATGAAGGTCTGGGAAGAAAACTAGCCAGGTACAATCACGAAATTGCCAAGTACTGCATGACACTGACCAACAGATCTTAGAGGAACCTTTGCACACACTCGAGTTAATCTAAGTATGGAGCCTACAGCATGATTCCCAGCAAAGAATCCCTGGGGACAGAATAGAAGACCACCTCTGAAGAACAGACTCTCAAGGAACTTGAGGGAAATAGGGTTGAGAGAAAACCTCTTTCAGAAACATGACAGGGTTTATGCTTTATAGAAATACAAGCATGAAAAGTTTAAACTCAAATATTCTCGTATTAGCAAGAGCACAGCCAGCAGGCAAGGGAAGGGATTTCTCATAGCTGTTTGGCACTGGTGACACAACTGGATACTGGGAACAGTTTGGGCTTCCAAGTACAAGACAGACCTTAACAGATTAGAGAAAATGTCATCCATAGGCCACCAAGACACTCGGGGCTGGAGCACAGAATGTATGAGGGGGGGGTTGAGAGAGCTGGGTTTGTTCAGCATGGGGAGAAGTTAGCAGATGGGGATCTTATCACTGCCTAGAGCTACCTACATGTAAGACACAGAGAAGACTGAATCTGGAGCATTTTTTTTTTAACTTCAGCGTTTGATCTTCACACAATAATCTGGCTATTCTGAGTACAGGGTTGGACCAGAGATCTCCACAGATTACTGCAACTTAAATTATTCTATGACTGAATGTGTGACTGCACGAGGCATTAACGCCCCAGCCATACCACTTACTGAGCAAAAAGGGAAACAGATAACATTCCAGTGAGAGCATCAGAGCGACTTGTTAAAATTGTCTGCAGTTTATGTTGACGGGCAATAATTTTTTTTTATTAAAACAGCCATAGCAACAGGATATTAAATCCTGCTCTCAAGACAGCTGTGACTACAGGATTTGCAAAGCCAGTAAGAACTAACTGCCCAGATACATGCACTAATTCTCCAAGCAGTTCTTATAGAAAACAAGATACAAAAGATACATCAAAGCAAATGCTTTTCTGTAGCCTTGCCCATTTTGGTTGCCAGGATGCAAGCTTAAAGAAAAATTATAAGATAGAGCAGTCTTTATGGCTACTGTTCATTTCTCCTTATGACTGTTCACACAGGATCGTAATGACAGTAACGAACTGGAAGAGGAGAAAGAATATTTTTGGAGAAGCAATTGCTGGTGGAGACCTGTCAAACACAACAGAGAAGTGGAAAAACAGGTAAGACGCCTGTTCTGTCCAGCAATTAACAAAAAGAGTCTGTCATGTGACAGCCACAGCTCTGCCGTTCAGTGGGGAGGGCATTCAGCTCTAAGTAATAACTAAAAACTGAAAGAATAGGGAGAAAAAGTAGCTCCTGCCTCAAAACAAGCAGCTCCTGCTGCCCCCTGCTGACTGAGGACTTAGGTGAGCAGAGCTCAGGAAGGCTGGTTTAGAGATGTCTGTAGACCCACACAGACTTAGAATGAAGATTAAGTCTGATGTGGTAACTTCTATCACCTTCACAAAAACCGGAGGTGCTCAAAGCCAGAGACTGATGGAAGAGAAAGGATGTTGGGGTCATTGATGCAGCGAAAAAATGAAATTGCTCAAATGTTTTCTCTTCATTTGTCCTAGATTTTACATTTGCTTCCAGCATACCAGCAAAGGATACTTGTCATGAGCTGCTACCACAGCTCTCACCTGGTCCTCAACTAAAGATGCACCTGAAACGTTGTTTGCTGCAGACATGTTTAGAGAAAATACCACTGTGCTCTTTTGTTGATGTTATGCTTTCCTGAATAGCTGGTATTGACCACAATCAGAGACAACAGACACACCACTGGGCAGAAATCTGGTCTGCCTCAATTATCACACTGCCAGTCTTAGGAATGGGAAAGGGAAAAGCAGCAGGAAGATTATCTGCTAGTACTGACCAAAATGAAACAGAGCTTGGACATGCAGTAACCACCTCCCCTACTTCACCTTGGCTATAATCTCCTCGGAGGAAACGATGGAACAAATGAAGGCTGTAGTTGGCTGTGCACGGCACTCAGATATGGGACAGGTGCAGTTGACAACCATGTTCTGTTCAATGCGAGTCGTGAGATACTCACTCCAACAGGGCTGCGAAGGCAGAGAGGAGACATCAGAGCTAAACAGGAGCTGCACCACCTGGGCCATATATGACCCTGGAAGCCCACCCCACCCAGCAGCGAGTGCATGAAACCACCACAAACTGTGGATAAGTACTCAAAAACACAAAAGTGGGAACAAACTAATCAGGAGCTGAAGGATCACAACAAACAAGGGATCTGAGAAAAGAGAATGCGTGAGCTCTGTGAAAACCACCTGATAACATCTTCAGAAAAAGAACAGCTGCTCCAACTAGGCAGCAGCAATTCCCTACCAAGTTACAGGAACCAAAGACCCCAAGGACCTTTACCTTGCAGCAGTAGTGCAGGCAACAGAGGGTTGGTGGCTTCTCAGTGGGACACAGCTGGTTCATACAGACTGGGCAGTGGGTTCCTGGGCTTGGGGGAGGCTGGGCATCCTGCACTTGCAGCCCAGAGGAGATGAGCAAGGTCTCACGGTTCTCCACGTAGCACTGGATCAGGAAATCCACATTCCACCTGCAGTGCATGAGGAGGTGCCGAGCAACATCATCCGGGATGCTCAGAGTATCCTGGACCTGCTGTACTGTCTGGTTCATGAGCAGCTTTGCCTCCTCTGGACTAAGCGTGTGCCCCATTGGCACCTGCAGCATTACCATGAGAAAATCCTCCGACCTGCCTATGCCGGGATTCAACCTGACATGGAAAAATGTGTCATGACCATACAGGGTGGAGATGCACACCCCTCCACACCTGGTGACATGCATCCCTACCCATACAGGCAGTCTATGCTGTCCTCATCCGGAGATGCCTCTGGTGGCCTGCTCTGGAAAACCATCTGTGCCTGGCCCCCAAGAGGTGTTGTGGGTTCAGCAGAGATGTATTCCAAGACATGAGGCCTCTCCTCCTGGCGCCGGAGATAGCCCTGGTTCAGCAGGTGCAGGACACAGGACAGCACATCCACGCTGTGGCAGCAGAAGCTCAGGAATCGCAGCCCTGGCCCCAGCTCACCCTTCTGGCAGGCATCAATCACCTACAGCAGCAAGGGAGCCATACGCTGCAGCACGGCGCAGCACCCGGGTGGCCCCTCTCTGCCCACCCCCCTGAGCCCTCCATACCCTAAACACCAGGTTGTCAATGTGGAGCTGCTTCTCCAGTTTGAGGATGCGGGTGATGAGGCAGCAGAGGACGTTCCTCTTCCTTTCCAGGGCGCTGACGTCAGCCCTCTCTGCCCGCAGGTACCTCTGCCGGGGCAGCAGCCTCAGGTGGCGGCCAGAGGCACGGGCCAGGGCCGCCTGGTTCAGCCGCAGCGCACCTGGAGCTAGCACCCGACCCAGGGTCAGCCGAGCCCCGAGATGGGCCCTGAAGGAGCCCCAGGACCCCCGCAGGGCTGTCGGACCCGACCGCGGGCCTCCCACTGCTGCCTTCGC